CCCCATCGGCGATGGGTGGCACCGCCGACGGCGGGGGGCACGCGGAAAGAGAGAGAGAGAGAGAGAGAGAGAGAGAGAGACCGAGAGAGAGGGAGGGCGCGAGAGAGAGCGAGAGAGAGAGAGAGAGAGCGAGAGAGAGAGAGAGAGAGAGCGGGAGAGGGAGAGCGCGAAATAACGCGAGAGAGAGGGGAGGGACCGTGGGGGGGGGGGGGGGCAGACGTGGCACAGGGGGAGGGCGAAGCATGGAACCAACACAGGGCGGCGTTAGAACGAGGCATGCGCACGTGTACGCGCGTGCGTTATAGCTCCACGTTCCCATCGCGCAACGGCGCTAATGGCGCAAACGCTCGCTGCACAACGGTTTGCGGCGCGCAACTGCGCGCGCGGGGGGGGGGGGGGGCGCAGCTCGCCAGAAACCGCCGTTTGCAAAAAGAGAGCGGCGTGGCGGGTGCATGGGCGCGCGGGTGTGCGTGCGGGTGCGGGTGCGTGTGCGTGCGGGTGCGGGTGCGGGTGCGGGTGCGGGTGCGGGTGCGGGTGCGGGTGCGGGTGCGGGTGTGTGTGTGTGTGTGTGTGTGTGTGTGTGCGTGTGTGTGTGTGTGTGTGTGTGTGTGTGTGCGTGCGTGCGTGCGTGCGTGCGTGCGTGCGTGCGTGTGTGTGTGTGTGTGTGTGTGCGTGCGTGCGTGCGTGCGTGCGTGCGTGTGTGTGTGTGTGTGTATGTGTGTGTGCGTGTGTGTGTGTGTGTGCGTGTGTGTGTGCGTGAGAGGGAAGGGCGGGGCGGGGGGGCGGGGCGACGCGTCGGTTGCCCCAGTGGGCTGCCGAGGGCTCCCACATCGAACCATCAGGTGAGATGTCCATCGTTGGCCCCTGAACCCAAGCTGGTCATGGAGCTGGCTGGTAATGATGCGTGGGTCGGAATGGGCCCCAACGTGATGCGAGTGGCCATCTGCCCCCATCGCAGTGGCCCCCGTCGCCATCACCCTGCATGAGTCGACGCGCCTGACTTGGAACGGGGTCAGGCGCCCGCGAAACATGTGAACCCCGAGCCGCTGCACCGACAATTGAACTGATTATCTACACTGAATGGGCGACCACACCCCACATCCCCCACCAGCCCACCTACCCCATGCCACCCTCACCGATCCCCTCCCAGAACTGACGCTGGGATCTTCGGCGCGCATGGGTGGGAACGTCGCCGCACAGACCGTAGGTGGCACGATGCCCTTGATATATTTCTGCGCACCTGAGTGGGAACGGCTGCACCCGCACTGACCAATGATGTTTCGGCGCGCCTGGGTGGGAACAGAGTCAGGCGCGTCGCCCCATCACCGCCCTAGCTTGGCGCCCCTCATCGTTCTCCCCCCCCGCCGCCCCCACGGCGCATCGCATGTGAGCTCCGATCCGTTGCAGCGACGGGCGTATTGATGTGCGTCCATTCATGGGCGACCAAGGACCCCCTCCCCATGTCTCTCCACCCCACCCCGCAGATCGTCCTCATAGATGTCATCCCAGAACTGACCCTGGATATGTCGGTGCGCCTGAGTGGGAACGGCTGCCAAGCTGGCCCTATATGTTTCGGCGCGCCTGGGCGGATACCTCGCCATCGCTCGGACGTCCATTCCCCGTGCGTTGTTCGGTTTCGTGAGCGCTCTTGCTTCGCAAGATGATCCAAGCTGCTCTTCGATGGCCCTCGCCGAAAAGACAATGGCCGATTCACACGTCCGAGCGATGCCGAGATACGTCGGTGCCTTTGGGTGGGAACGGTGGCTGTGATGGCACTGACTTTGTCGGCGCGCCTGTGGGAAACTGTGATGGCCGTATCGCCCCGCCCCTGCCCCCTCGTCATCCCGCCCCCGAACGCCCGAAACACAGACCGACGGCGCCCTCGGACGCCGCCAACCGCGCACCGCAAAAGCACACTGACCATATGAGAAATCCGAATGCGCACAGAAGACGCCCTGGTCTCAGACGTTTCGGCTCGCTTAGTTGGGAGCAGGGGGGGACATGATCAGCAAGGATGGGACGCCCGCTGGTCCCCGTCGACCCCGCTGAGCTGGCGCCCGTTGTCGGCGCTCCCGCCTATAAGCTCTGCCATGTACCCGAGGTCGGCGGCGCTGCCGATGAGCTCAGCATGGCGCGTGGCGCCGACGTCCTAGCCGATAAGCTCTGTCAGATACCCGACGTCGGGGAGAGCCTCGCGCGTGCAACCGCTGAAAGGGAGGGGCAGGATCGATGGGGCGATGGGGCAGCGCCACAAGTGGTGCGCGAGCGGTGGGGCGAGGGGCGAATGGGGGAGGGACGGACGGTGCGACTACAGAAAGACAGCTGCAATAAAGAACGCAAACTGAATAATGACCCAACGCCACGCGAACGGCGATGCTGATTCACGGTGGCGCTTGGAATCTAGCGCTTGCGACGCCGAACCCGGGACAATAAAAGCGCAGGGGCACACGTGCAACGCTGTCCTACAAATTTGATTGGCCACGAAACAACCCGTGAACAATGCCGAAACTTGCGCCGCCGTTATCTGCATCGCCGTTCGCGCGTCTACGGACGAAGCCCCTGTTCGGCGACAGCAGCAATTGCGTGCACGACGAAGGGCACAACACCAACCACCGAATGATCTAAGGAACAGGGGGGCCCTGCCGAACACGCGGCTGACCTAATTCCAGCGTCTTGGTTGTGCAATCCCAGCGATGTCGCCGACGACGGCGCAGACACGCCCTGCCCTGCCCCCATAGCATCGGGCAGCGGCTGGCCGCCCCACCCAATGCTACCCCCTACCCCCACGCCGTCCATCCACCCATGCCACCCCCACGCCCCCCCCCCCCCACCTCATATTCGCAATCCCCTCCCATCCCCACTTGACATCACCATTCCCGCCCCCCCTCAATTACGTCGCCCGTCCCTGCGCCTCCGCACTGACGCATCAGTCGCTGCTGCTGCTGCTGCTGCTGCTGCTGCTGCTGCTGGAGCTGGGCGCCGCTGCCGCGTGCGCAGGCGACAACGCAGTTGCCGCTGCGTTGCGCAGCTCATCCCTGACTGCGTTCGGGGGCAGGGTCGCGTTCTGCCAAGATACCTGCGACTCGTGCGAGAGCCCTCCAGGGGGCAATGCTGACTCGAGCTGTGCAATCGTATATGTCCCGACAGGCGGCAAGCTCTCGGGCTCGAGCTGGCCATGCTCGCTCTTCCTATGGGACAGGCCGTACCCAGCGATGCACCAGGCCTGCAAGGCCAAGCGGATTTGTTCCATGTTCCCGCCGCCAGCGCTGAGATTACGGGTCTTTGTGCACATCGTGCTCAAGGGCTCGCCATCATCCCTGTGGAACTTGCACGTCGCCTGCAGCCGCATCGAGCCATCTTTCTTCAACACTGAACATGTGATCCTGAACGGGCCGAATGGCCCCGACGCTGGGTTCCGAGAATGGCGCCTTGCTGCCGCTGCATCCGACGCGCCAGCTGGCTGCTCTGGGGGCGGCGGCGGCATCTGCTGTTCCAGCTCGGGTTCGGGTGGCAGCGGCGGCTCTGGGTGCACTGGCGGCCCAAGTGGCGCGCCTGGCTGTTCGGGTGTAAACCCAGGTAGCTGCAGCTCTGGTGACCCTGAGCCTGGGGGCATCGCCGATTCTGGCTGCGGCTGGGCTGGGGGTGGGGCTGATGGTGTCAGAGGCCCTGGCGATCCTGGTGGCGTCGGGCAGTCTGAGGGCGTCGGGCAGTCTGGAGACACCGTCGCTCCAGGCATCGGCTGAACGGGGCTTGGTGCAGACGGCGATGCATCTGGCAACGCGGGGTGCGGGTCGGTCTCGCATTGACGGGCTGGCCCAGGCGACGCAAGCGCTGGCGATCGAGCCCACGACTGGCAGGAGGCGTCGGAGTCAGCGCCCACCTCGAGCGGCGAAACTTGCTAAACGATGCACGTGCAACCAACTCCACACCCTACAGCCCTGCTTGGAGTCAAGAACATTAGACGCTACGAATACGGCCTTCAGTGAAGGCCGTATTCGTAGCGTCTAATGTCCCTTCTTGGGGTGAAGGCCCTTCACCCCAAGCAGCTCCTTACACCGCCATCCAAATCCAGGCTGACATGGGAACCTAAATGCATGATTTTCTTAAAACGGGACCTGAGGCCCATAAAAGCAGCCGCGATGTTCGTTAAGTATGATGGGCGTGCTAGCCCACCGTCACCCCGCAAAAGAAACATCCGGACACTAAGTGCGTCAAACACTCCATGGACCCCGAGTCTGGCCCCCATGGGCCACACCAAAAAATCGATACATCGGTTGCACACGCAACGTGTGTTAGTCCTGACACCTCATCCCCGCTCGAATTGCCGCCGCCCCTGCTGCCCCCGCGGTCGCTGCCGCCGCCACCGCCAAGGCCCGAGGCAGCGTCCTGTGGGCGAACGAAGGGGGGCGAACCCCAACTGATAACCTGCGGGGTCAGAGGTGCGAACATGCGGGTGGAGTTGCACAGTGGTCGGTCGAACGGCCTTGTCATCCCCCAACGGGGAGTGGCCAAATGCAGTCCCCCACACGTCACATAGCCCTACAGGGGCTCCACCGAAACACCCAGCAGGCGCGGCCGCATGCGGCCCCCCAGCCGTTGTCGGCACACCCCTCGCACACAACATGGCCCCATAGAGAACTCCACCGAAATCCCCAATGGGGTGGTGGCAGCATGCGGCCCCCCCCGCCGATTTCGGCACACCGCACGCTTCGCGGCCCCATCGGGATCTCAACCGAAACCCCCTTCGAACGGCCCTTGTCTCCCCGCCCCTTCCCTGTCTTCCATGACATTCCCCTGGCCTTTCTCCCATCCCCTCCCCCCTCGCCCAGCCTCCCTCCGACTGCCCCCCCTCCTTCTCGTAACACCAAACAGCGGAAACGTTGTCCCTGCGACGGGACTGCGCGCGAACGCGCTAACGGCCACAGTGGCCAAACACACCTCGCGGCGGGGAAGGCGGGTGGATCGATCGGACCACTGAGCAACAACACGCCCATTTGGGCCCCGTGGTCCTCGAGGGGCAGCGGCGCGGCAGCCTTCCGCTGCCTTTTCGGCGCCCTCGGGCGCGGGCACCCAGTGTCGTCCTGGATGGCCAGGCGCTCAGGACGGGCGGTGCCCAACAACACGGCGTAGTCCTTGTCGGCCAACGCGTGGGCGACGACCGACTTGCCCGCAAGCAGGCAGCGCAAGTAATTGGTGGAAATGGTCTTCTTGGCGGCCTGGAAGTACCAGGCCTTCTCGCTAGCAACACTGTTCGGGTCATATGGCTGCGGCGTCTCGGCCTTCTTCCCCTTCCCGTGCGGCAGCAACTTGCCTGTCCAGCCCGCCGCTTGCAAGTCCAGGAGCAATTCAAATGCGTCCTTGTCCTGGCGTGGGGGCATGGTGGAATAAACACAATAAAAATATAGGTAACGTATTTAAAAATTTCAGCCCGCGGTCCTTGTCCTGCACGCCAATCCTGGATCTCAGGGCTGGCGCTGGCTGCTGGAGCTTCTCAAAGGCAGCGATGTCCCGCATGCAAGCGAGGCTCATGTTCCAGCAGACGAGCTCGTCGCCCGCGTCGCCCGCCGCACGCCGATCCACGAGGCCAGCCTGTTCCAGGATCTCAAGCGTGCGGGACGGCTGGGCGACCAAGGAACTCTCTGCGCCTGGAAAAGCGCCAGAGATGACCATGTCCGTGAGGATTTCGGACGCGAGCCCGTACTCCTCCCTGGGCACGTCCGCTGGCCACCGCTTCGGCTGGTAGAAGAGCTGCCCCTCTGGCTGCCACTCGAGGAGGTCAAGGTGTAAGCGCGGGAGCGCCTCCAAATGACACCTGTGGAGCAACCGCGTCGACCCGACGTCAATCGCGACGTCGGCGTCGGCGTCGGCGTCGCCATCCAGCGGCGCGACAGCATCCCCAAACCGTACGCCAGACAACGCCACGAGAAGCTCAGTGGAGCCGCCTGGTCTGTCGTACCCGACTACGTCGTGCACGCTCACGGCCACGTCATCAGTGGTAAGGTTGGAATCCCGCGGCTTGATGATGTGCCGAATTGCTGGCTTCGCGTGAACCACCCTGAAAATGCAGTGCTCGTGTGGCTCCAGCGCTGGGGGGACGCCGTCTGGCGGCCCCAGGTCCAGGCCGCCGTCCGCAGGCGCGGGCGCCGCCGCAGGCAGCATGAGAGGAGGCGTGTACTGTGCGTCTGTGAGAGGCAACAGTCCAGGGACGCCGAAGCTCCTCGACCCAGAGAATGCCGATTCCATCTCAGGCAAGGAGTCACGCGGCAAAGCAATCGAATAGAAAGCCTCCCGCTTGAACGTTTTCCTGAGATGCTGCAGGGCTGCCGCCGATACGATCTTGAGCCCGTGGTTCAGGGAATCGGGCACGTGCCCCCCTCCTCCGCTGTCAGTCTTGCCCTTCGGGAAGGCGGCCTTCAACGCTGCGTGCTGCTTCTGCTGCGTCTCACTGTCAAGTCTGCACAGCACGCTCGTGGCCGTAGATTGCTTGACGCGCCCAGTCTTTGCGAATTCCGAGAACACCGTCGGGTGCGCGTGCAACCCAAAAGCCTGCAGCAAACGCTCGGACGACGTCCTGATGCGGCCCATGTCGGCGGCCACATGCTCGAGGAGGCCTGGGTCGGCAGCCAGCCGCCGCTTGAAATCTGGCAGTTTCAGGTGGACGTTGACGAAGCCTCCCCCCGCGTGGGGGGCCCGAGACGAAGCTAGCTTGTTCAAGCGGTGCTTCGCCTCGATGGACCGCTCTGCAACGGGGACGCCTAGGACCACGCCTGCTACTTGCCTGAGGCCAGGGAGGCTCTTGAGAGAAACCCCCTGCTCCACGAAGGCAGCCACCTCGTCGCGCAGCGGGGACGAGGGCGCCAGCACGCTGGCAGCCAACGGCCACAAACTGCTGCGCTTGGACTCGTCGAGCAAGGCGTACTCGCGCAAGCACGCTTGCAGCCCGAATCGCGCAGTGGCCTCTGAGGTTCCACACTTGCCAATGGCACCCAGCACGCAAAACTTGTGCGGCAAGTACGCCCAATGTGCATACTTGATCTGGACCACTTCCATGATCACTGCACGAGCGCACTCCCAATCACGCACGACCATGTCACGGTCCATCTGGGTCAGCTCCTCGCACCTGACCAGCAGGCGGCCCAAGGACTGGGTCACGAGTTCAGCCAAGTACTCCTTGTGCTTCCCTGCGGCCAAGTCTGGGGCGCGACGGCCCCTCATCGGGCAGGTCGAGTGCTTGAGGCCAGTTTCGCCGATGAACTCCGCCCGCCTTCTGAAGTACGGGCGGCCTGCGGCAAATCCATCCTTCTCGCGGCAGTCCACTGCGTGGCATGGGCAAGATTCCATATAGTTCTGAAACTCGTAGAGGCAGCCGTGCACAGCACATAATATTGCATGGCCGTACACCCAGAACTTCGGATCGCGCACCGCCTTGGCGGGCTCCGAAGAAATCGCAAACGCACTGCCGTCGAGGTAAAACACTGGCCGCCCGCCCCGCCAAGACTAAACAAGAACAACCCGATGCATTGGATGCGCGAACGTGTGACTACCCCGCTAGCCACGGGCCGAAGCGCCGCGCACCCCAAGCGGGGAACGCAGGAGGAGGAGGAGGCGGAGGAGGAGGACGACGACGAGACCGACGACGAAGAGGATGAGGAGGTGGAGGGAGAAGGAAGAGGGGAGGGGAGAAGAGAAGGAGGACGCGACGGGGGGGAGGAAGAGGAGGAGGAATAGGAGGAGGAGGAATAGGAGGAGGAGGAATAGGAGGAGGAGGAGGAGGAGGAGGAGGAGGAGAAGGAGGAGGAGGAGGAGGAGGAGAAGGGGAGGAGAAGAGGAGGAGGGGGAGAAGAAAAGGAGGAGGACGATGAGGAGGAGAGAGAAGGAAGAGGAGCGAAAAGGAGATGGGGAGTGGGGAAGAGAAGGAGGACGACGACACGGAGAGGAGGAGGAGGAGAAGAGGAGGAGGAGGAGGAGGAGGAGGAGGAGGAACAAGGGGGGAAACGAGGTGCCCCCTCCGGCCCTCCGGCGACGCCCGCAGCCTTCTGCTGCGCGAGCTCCAAAGCCCCCACGCGGGGTCCTCGGCTGGCGTGTGCTATGGTCTGAGGACCCCTGCGCGGCAGTATGTTTCCCCAACGGGGGCTGGAGCTGGAGCGTGCAGAAGGAGAAGGAGGGGACTGAGAGGAAGGCGGACGATCGACGACGACGGCGACGACGACAAGGGCGATGGCGATGGCGGGGGAGAGGCGGGGATAATGATATGATAATGATATGATGGTATGATGATGTGGCATGGTGCAGGCGTTTCGCACTGGACTATCTCAACAATCGTGACCGAAAGACCAGGCGTTTCGCACGAGAACATCCAACAATTTGCTTCGGCCTGTCAAGCCTCCATCATCTGGCCTGCGCGCGCTCAGGCGCAGGCCCCGTCGAGCGGCCAATGCTCACTTTACCCCGACAAGCGTTTGCAATCCCTGGGCCCGTTGCCTCGTCGATCAGGTGCAGGTCGGCCTCCGCGACATCTCCACCATCTTCGGCGGGTGGCCGCTGCGCCCTGCTCTCGCCCATGTCCGCGTCCAGCCGCGCGGGGCGGTTGTCCCCTGGGCGCGCATTGTACTTGCGCAGGTCCCAGTGCGCCCTCATCCCAGCCTCAATGAACTGCATCTGCTGCAGCGCTGGCACCCAGGACCCGAAGCGCCACTCCGTTGGCTTCGTCCGCATCTCCCTCAAGGCCTTCTGGTGGCCCTCGGCCTCGGGGGCCTTGAAGCAGCGCTCGATTAACCGCTCCTTGGTGAAACGGTCGCAGAGCAGAAGGATCAGCGGCTTCGCCCGTTTCAAATACCACTCCATGTGCGTGAAAGCCTTAAGGACATCTTGGAGGGCATTGTTGGTGATGTGTAAAACACCAGCCACTTGTAGGGACCCGTGGAAAAACGCACGATCACGCGTAGTTCCTGCGCCTGGCGCGTCCCCACGGGGGTCTGCGACCTTGGGCGCGTCCACATGAGCGATGTCCAAGGTCGCACCGCCGCCGCCGTCTGGTTCCACTACGAATGCCGTCGGTGCATCACCTTCTCCGCCCGCGTGCGTCTCGGGCCCAGCTGTGGCTGCGTCGGCGGCCGCCGTGCCGTCGTCGCGAACGACGGCGAAAGCCGCGCCGCCACTGCCCACATCGGCGGGCCCGCGCGGCACGGCGCCGTCGTCGCACGTGGTGCCAAATGCCACGCCCCCAATGTCGGTGTGATCGGGGGACGCGCGGCCGTCGTCCACTGTAATCTCGAAAGCTGGCGTTGCAGTTGGACAGCCTTCCTGGTAGACGTCCATGGCCTCGCCCCCCCCGCCATCAGGGACCACATTAAAATCAAACCAATGGGGAAACACATCCATCATGTCGACTGCTCGGGCGCTGCTCAACCCCGCTTCCGTCCCCATGTCGGTGGTCACGGACAGGATTCTCTGGGCCCTCTGCTGACACGATAACATGGTGCGTGAGCTCAGCCGAAACGAGTGGACGATCGCGTGCATCTTGTCCATCACACCCGTGGCCTGAGACCCCAAGCCGACGGCAGTCAGCATGTTGTGGCCCCATATCGCGGCCAGCTCTTGCGACAAAGCCCGAACCTTGCGGGCCGCCGCGTCGTAGTGCTGGAAGTCTTCAGGGTCCATCTCGTCTGGCTGCAAGTCCCCGCTCAACGACAGCCTCGCGTCGCCCCGATGGTACATCAACTGTTGGGTAATCTCCCACGCCCTTCCAGGATCACTGCACTCGAACGTCTCCGTCAGCAGCCAGTCTGTGCCCAACAGGGGGCTGGAGTCCGACAGCATGTATTCAGCGGGCGGCGGGTTAGTTGCAAATCGCCTCTGGTCGGCCAGCAGCACAGCAGCATCGAGCACCACGAAGTAGCGCTGTATGGTAGAAGATGACACCAAACCTCCCGACTTGAGGTTCTCCAAGATAGGGTCCGCAATGGATTTGTGAAGGCAATACCTGATGGACTCTCTTAGCACACCTTCCAAATGAGCAGAACCGTGCAAGCGTGTTGCGATCATTACTGCATTCAAGATCTTGGATGCGGCATGGATCCTGGTGCCATCCAGCTGGTTTTTCCCGTGGGTCCGCAGTGCGTCAGAGGCGTGCCCCAGGAAGCGCAGCGACGCAAGCACTTCCTCTCGGTGTTGTTGCTGTCCATGCTCTGGGAGGGCGTTGTAGCAGGCGCTGACCGTCGCTGCCACCATGTCAATGGCGGTCGATCGCAGCTCCAACTGTGGCGAACCCCGAACGTCGAATGCAGACGGCGCGGCGGGATGCACTGGTGCAACGGCGGCCGCCTCGCGCATCCCGAAGGCCTCCCTGAAAAGCACGGCGTCCGTCTCCCTGCAGGCGCCTTCCCACAGGTAAACTGACCGAAACACGCCTCTGATCAGCAAGGCGCTCATCGGCCACTGGGGCACGTGCGCCCACGTGCACCCGCTGCGGACGTCCACCTGGAACCCCTCAGCGCGCAACTCCTGCACTGCACTGGCAATGCAATCCAAAGCGAACAAGGACCGAACGCTGTCAGCGCCAAGGAGGGTGAATGGCTTCCGTGCTGAAGCATCCCTGAAACCAATAACGTCGGCTGCTGGGATGTACGGCAGGGCCTCTTGAAAGCCGCGCCGATGGCGATGTTGGGCAACGGCTGTGTTGGCATTGTCGCGATTTCTTCGATTGCGACGCTAAAGTCGCGCAAGAGAAACCGTGGGAACCCGCGAACACATCACACAAACCTGGGCAACGCATTTGAAACATCGCTTCGGCAACGAACCAGCTTCACAGACAATGACACCACCTACACTGCCGTTACCTGCATCGCCATCCGCGCGTCTACGGGCCTTGACGGCCACGACGCTGCTCGACCACAACAGCCTGCCGTCTGCACCGAAGCTCCGCACCGCGCACCGCGTCTCGGGGTCGCCAGCCCCGAACCCCACGTTGACGGGCGACGGTGGGACCCGTAGGAGGAGCAGCCCAGTCACGGCAGCGGCGGCGGGGCCCGCCAGACACCCGCCAGCCGCGGAGGCGCCGCCTGATGGATCGACGTTGCTCGGGGGAGGGTGGCGCGCGTGCGCGCGTGGAAGGGGATAAGGGAGTCGCGGGCGCGCATGCGCGCGGGAACGCAGCGGCTTACGCTTGTCTCGGAACCTTACGCGGTAGCGCGCGTGCACTGATGCCCCCCCTCCCCCCCCCCCTCCGGCTTCAAGACACAAGGCCTCAGGCCCCCCGTCGCGCCAGGGAAAGGGGGGGGAGCGGAAGGGTGCAAGGGGGTAATGCATGGGAGGTGTTCGAACACAGCGGGCCTACGTCAGCGATCCAAGCCGAGTCCGCAGGAGACACGATGAACGTGTCGCGGGCCTGCCAAGCGGGCGTCGCCCGCGACACCAAGAAAACAAGCACGACTCGGTCCATCCTCTGGAGAGGTGGGCTGGGGCGGGCGCGAGGAGGGAGGCTGCAAAGGCGGTGCGTGCGCGAGGCGGGTGGGGTTGGGACTGGGGGGTGGGGGGAGAGGGGTGGGCGCGCGTGCATGCGTGCATGCGTGCGCGGGGGAGCGGTGGGGTCGAGGCGGCGGCGCGCGGGGTGCTCAAGGTGGAGGGGGGGAGGGACCGTGGGGCCGCGGCCACGTTGTCTCGAGGCGCTGCGGCTTCAGCGCATGCCCTTCATGGCTGCATCTCCATCTCAAACATGCGTGGGCCCCAGCAGGGGCCAACACCGTGTGCTGAGGTGCACCCATGCCCATCTGTCGGAAGAGGCATGTAGAAACACGAAGTAGGAAGCTTGTGGCAATATATTGGGTTATGTCGGCACCCTTGGGAGGGCGGAAAATGCGACGCCACTCGGCCCTTGAAGTGGGACAAGGTAGATTGGAACCTGCGAATCCAAGAATACAGACTTTCAACGACCGATGGGCAGGCAGGCGTCATCCGCGCTACGTGCCACTGCCGCTGCCGAGAGGTGATTCCAATGCTCTTGCGGCTCACGTTCGCCAGACGCGCTGGGAGCTCAGGGTACTGGGCGCGGGCACAAGCGGTGGGCGCGCGGGCCAGGCGGGGCGAATGCTGCGCGAGGGCGGGAGGTGGGAGGGGCAGTTGCGCGGGGGCGTGCGAATGGGCGGAGTGACACCGCAACCGCGCACGTGAAAACCACTCGGGCATTGGCGCACGTGCGGGGGGGGGTGGGGATGGAGGGGGGCGGGGGTGAGGTGGGCGAGGGTGCGGCAGCTCCTGGCGCAAGATCGGCCACAGGTTGAAGGAGTAGACACGGTAATAGACCAACTGCTCCTGGCGAAGTTGCGATGGCGATGAAAGGGGGGGTGCGCGAAATGGGCGTGCGGAGAGTGCGGGAAGGAAGTGGGCGTAGGACCGTAGCAATACTGGCTCACTGCTGCCCGTCCGTAACCCAGCGTCGATCGCGCTGCGTGCCGCGGCCGCTGCCGAGAGTTGATCCAGCGCTCCAATGGTTCACGTTTGCCCGACGCGGTGGGCTTGGGAAAGGGACGCGGGCGCGCGGGATGGGTATGGACTGGCATTGTGCGCGCGCGGGAGGGCACTGGCACGCGGGCGAGTGGGGTTGGCGAGTGGAAGGCATGGGGAGGAGGAGGGCGAGAAGCTGGCAGCTCCTGGAGCAGGATCGGCCAAAGGTTGAAGGAGTAGATGTGGTACAAGACCAGCAGCGCCTGGCGCAGCGGCGGCGGCGGTGGGACGGAGGGCGGGGGAGGGGCGTGCGTGCGTGCGTGCGTGAGTGTGTGCGCGCGAGTGCGTGCGTGCGTGCGTGCGCGCGTGCGTGCGTGCGCGTGTGTGTGTGTGTGTGGTTGTGTATGTGATTGTGTGTGTGTGTGTGTCGGTGTGTGTGTGTGTGCGTGGGTGTGTGGGTGTGCGTCTGTGTCAGTGTGTGTTTGTGCCTGTCTTTGGGTGTGGTTGTCTGTATGTCTGGGTGTCGGTGTGTCTGTGTGTGTGCGTGCGTGCGCGCGTGCGTGCGAGTGCGCGTGCGTGCGTGCATGCGTGCGTGCGTGCGTGTGTGCGTGTGTGTGTGTGTGTGGGTGTGTGTGTGTGTGTGCGTCTGAGTGTTGTCCTCCGTTCGCGTTGCTGGATGTGTTGGGGCGGGAGCGGGTGGGAGGAGGGAGTGGGCGGCATGGCGGGGGGGGGGGGCGGGGCACGATTCAAAGGCGGTGGTGGTTGGTAGGGTGACGCAGAGAATTGGCGGTGCACGCGAGGGCGGGGAAATCTGAAAAGGGTCACTAACGAAAGCCAGCAAGCGGGATGGCGCGCGATGCGGCTGCAACCCCAACACACCGCGGGGGATGGGGGCGTAGAGGGCCACGGTGTAAGACCACTGCTGCTAGGCAAACAATCGCATCAAACGCTTCCCAGGCGCGTGTTCACATGCCCACTGGCGATGGGATGGGGGAGAGTAGAGGGTGGGGGCGACGGGCGGGGGAGCGCGTGGCCTGCAGCTGGCCTCCTTGGAGCCTCGGGGGCATCGACATTGCCAGGGATGTCCCATTGGACTCTGCGTGAGGCGCCCGAGATGTCGCATGTGCAGAGGTACAGGGGAGCCCAGAATTGGATCGAGTCGGGTCGGCGATCGATTATCAAGATGGTCGGCACGGATCGGTAGCCACATCGGAGCCGTCGAATCAGCGGAAATGTGTATGCTAAACGAAGCCCCGTTGAGAATTCTGAGCCGACGTCGGCCCCGAAGTCGCATCGGATCGGAATCGGACTCGTTGAACTCCGATCGAGTCGAATCAGAGGGGCTGGGATGGGCTTTCCCTTGCGGCCCTGGTGGGTGCATGTCGACGGCCTCTAGGGGTACCCCTGGCTTCGCGCGCGCGACGTGAGGCACCCGAGGATCAAGACAACGGCAATAACCCCCTCAAGAAAGCACTGGCGAACGGGCGGTCGGTCACAAGTCTGGCTCGCGCAACGGCCAATGAGCCGAACTACTATACCGCTATACAGTGCGAACTGGAGCTACTGGCAATCGCTCGGGCGTGCATTCCCTGTGTTCGGTTCGGTTTCGTGCGTGTCTTTTTACGCAGGGTGATCCAGGATGCTCCTTAAGAACCCCCGCCGAGAAGAACATAGACACGTCCGAGCGATACCACGGCTAAGCGCAATTGGTCGAAATTGCTGATGGGGGAGGCTGAACGGTGCGCAGCAGGCGCGGCGACTGCATGGAACGAGCGGGTGGAGGAGGGCTGTGCGGCAACGGCTACTCTAGCAATGGCTGCAGCCTATGCGGGGCAGCGGCGATGTCCATGCAAGGGTCTGAAAGAGAACTCACCAGCACGCTGGGCGGGCTCTCGACGCAGTCGGGCAGTGGACTGTCCGAGCTGCTGGTGGTGGGCAGCACCACGACGCCGAAGTCTGGCTGCACGCGGTCGGCGAGCGCGGCGCGCAGCCCTGATGGTTGCGGCTTGTTCAAATCGATGTGCTCGAAATCGCGAATGGGCTCGGGCTCGCCGTCGGGGATCGTTTCGAACACTCTGTCTGAGCCCATGCTGTCGAGCTGGCTGTCGGGCTGGCTGTCGGGCTCGAGTTCAGCCGACTCAGTCGCGGAGACAATGCTGTCGGAACCGTCGGGCGCTGCGTCGGACTTCGCGTCGGCGATGCTGTCGGACTCAATGGGGGGGGCGTCGGACTGGGCGGAGCCGTCGGACTTCGCGTCGGGCTCGTCGCCGGGCGCCGCCTCCGACTCGGGCGAGGCGTCCGTGAAAGAGGACGCGCCCTCAGGCCATGCCCGAATGCACGTCATTCCCTCCCCCCCTCCCCCGATGCCTCATCCGCCTTCAGCCTCCGCCTCCGACGTCCCCCCATCCCCCGCCCTCCGCCCCCCCCCCGCCCCACCCCAATGCGACTCGCTTCGCGCCATCACGCCGCCGCCCTGGGGGACTGGTGGGCGGGGCGCCATCATCTGGCCCAGGCCGCGGACAGCGGCGCGTCCTCGCGACCCCTCCACCCGTTGGGGTACCCAGCCAGTTACACATCCCCCAGCATCGGCCTCGATGCCACAGACGCTGTGCCACGTGCTCGCAAGCGAGAACGAGCTGGCGGCAGAGCCCTCGGTGCAGAGGGGGGACAGGGATGTGGGCGGCGTGGGGTGGCGGGGGCAAGCTATGGACGTCGAGCGCCCGCCTCTACTCCGCGCCACCCCCCGCTCCCCCCATCACCCGTCCACCCTTCTACACCTGCACTCCCACCCAAAAACGGGCAACCAACAGCCTCGTCCGCGTCGGCGGCGGGTCGCCGCGGTGACCTGCTGCGGTCCGAGCCCATGGCGAGCAGGGCGGACGCCCGTGGCAGTCGGAGCTCGGAACGGGCCTGGGATCGGGGCAAGGCTGCGGACGTCAGACTCCAGCGATCGCGCGACCACTTCTTGACAACCAAGACGCTGACATGGGGAACGCTTTGGGTTCGGAACGGGGAAAGGGGCCCGATTCTCCTTCGGAAATTCCGCTGTTGTTCCTCAAGCCGTTCTCGCGCACCAAGGCGCTGCTGATTTACGAGGGCCAAAGGGGGGCCTCGGTCCGCATCGGGCGTCCCACATTTCAGCCGCCTGCCTGCGCACCCCAAGCCACTCGTAACAGTACGCCGCTTCACCGATG